CCAATGAAAAATAATTATTTCCAAGAATTACAAATTTCACAAGGCTCACATTTTTTTCAAGGGTTACAAGGGTCAGAATTCCCGCAAATGTCGCATTTTTTCAAGGGTCGCAAGGTCCAGGATTTTTCAAACTTGAAAATTAAAATTTTTATTCCAATGAAAAATAATTATTTACAAGAATTACAAATTTCACAAGGGTCACATGTTTTTCAAGGGTTACAAGGGTCAGAATTCCCGCAAGGGTCGCATTTTTTCAAGGGTCACAAGGTTCAAGATTTTTCAAACTTGAAAATTAAATTTTTTATTCCAATGAAAAATAATTATTTACAAGAATTACAAATTTCACAAGGGTCACATGTTTTTCAAGGGTTACAAGGGTCAGAATTCCCGCAAGGGTCGCATTTTTTCAAGGGTCACAAGGTTCAGGATTTTTCAAACTTGAAAATTAAAATTTTTATTCCAATGAAAACTAATTATTTGCAAGAATTACAAATTTCACAAGGCTCACATTTTTTTCAAGGGTTACAAGGGTCAGAATTCCCGCAAGGGTCGCATTTTTTCAAGGGTCACCAGGTCCAGGATTTTTCAAACTTAAAAATTCACATTTTTATTCCAACGAAAAATGATTATTTGCAAAAAATAAAAATTTCGCAAGGCCCCAATCTTCTTCAAGGGTTACAAGGGTCACTCCGCAAGACAACAAAATTTCAGCCTAAAAAAATCCCGAAAAAAAAATCCACCAGAAGGAATTGAATATTGATGCCATAATAATCGCCATTATGACTTGTATCTCCATAAAGCATTCGAACCCCAGCGATACCTGCACGAACCATCAAACGAAAAAAAAAGCAGTAAAACTAAACGAGACATTTCAAAGTCGTGCAAAAGTGAGAAATGAGGAAAGACCAGAGTCGTAAATCAAGTTTGCATCGATAAGAGATATAAACAGTATCTGGGTGGTTGTTCTCACCCGATGTCTCTTCCTCATTGATAATTGATACAATTAACGTCCATTCATTAGTCGTCTCCGTCTATCGGTGATTCACCAGCGACAGATGAACGCATAAACTCGATTCGCTTTCTGATCTATCCACCTCACTCCCATTATTTCCATTTCCATTCTAATTTTTCCACTTTTTGTTCACTCTTTATAGTCATGATTTTCATCCAATAGAGGTGAGGATATAAAAATTAACACGTCTTCCGTTACATTATAACACACGCGATGCGAATTTATAGCATGATATTTAAAAGCCAATTGACGATCAAAGAGTCTCGTTAATGATTATATTATGGCGTGAATCCTCACGTCACGTTGAAATAAACGACGATAATTTGTGATAGTGAAATGAATTGAATTGACAAATTGCTTGTTTTATTTGCCGATAGTATTCATTGTTGGGAATATTTGATTTTAATGCCGTTTACATTATCATTGATCGATTCATTTGTGGATAAAGTGTTTTGTGACTAGTTGGATTGAGATTTATTTCTATTTTCTTACTCACACGTTTCCGATTTTTTTCCACTGAATTTTTTTCGACCCTAATGACCCTCATTATCAATGCAAAATTCTTTTCTCCTTCGAACATTAATTTCCTTTTTTTTCACTGATTAATTAATGATTTTTAGATCATTTTTTCGGTTCAAATGTGCCAATTCATCGCTGATGAATGGCTCAATCAATAACAAAAAATCTAATAACTTGTCCCCAGAAATTGTACTGAATTATTCCCGCAATTACTGTTTTTTAATTACTTTTTTTTTTCACCTGATCAAAGTACTCAATATATTTATCGTCTATCAGTACTCGGCGTTCCTATCGATCCAGTAGTGCGATCCACTCGGAGATTTACGACGTCGTAGATTCTCATGCCTCTCGGAAATCACCAACTGAGGGTTTTCATACAAAACGTATACCTTGCATCAAATCCACATTTACAGTTTTAACACAGGTTGAGATTGTTGTTGAGTTGTGTACGTATTTTGCCGCAGTACGACAAATGTCCGCATTATTGCTGGGTGAATAATGCGAGAGGTGTGGAATACGATGATAAAAAATTACAGGAAAAACGGTGTTAGGTGGTGCGTTGATTGTCACTGAGAATTTACGGGGGTAATTAATGATTTGATCATGGATATGTCATACAGTTATGTCAATACTAGTGTGTCATTAGGTATCTTCACACTTGGTGAGGTGGAAAATTAAATTACGAATGAAAATTAATTTTTCACTGCATTTTTTTAAAACTTTCTTCGTGCGCACGCACGAACGAGCGGGCACGATTTAGAAGGGAAATTTTACGCACTTGTAATATAATGAACAACTTTTGTTATACCTTAACGTAAAGTTGATACTTTCCTCTGATAGGAAAATAGGAATTTTATTGGGCAGATGTAAAAAAATAGGTGACTTTTCGGCCTAGGCCTAAAATACACCAGTTTATCTCATCTATACGCGAAATTTGTCCTCTCCTTTTTTATAAATGGGAGGAAAAATTGAAGTTTATTGTACAAGTGTAATAAAAAACCCCATATTTAATGTCCGGTTTTGCGTCCTAGTCACCCAATAGTAGAAAACAGTTGAAAAGAATTTTGTAATTTATTTTTTCCATTGGTCACCTCATTTTTTTAAGCTTCAAAATGAAAATTCCTCGACCCCTCACTGGAACGAACCATTTTTACAACACTTCACTGCAAAGTTGACACCTTCCCTAAGCAAAATTGGAATTTTATCATGCAGTTGTAAAAAAATATCGAACTTTTCGTCCTAGGTGTACAATATACTATTTCATCACATCTATACGCGAAATTTGCCCTCTCCTTTTTTATAACAGGGAGGAAAAATTGAAGTTTATTGTACAGGTGTAATAAAAAACCCCATATTTAATGAAAAAGGGGAAAAACCGGGAGTAAATGTCCGGTTTTGCGTCCTAGTCACCCAATAGTAGAAAACAGTTGAAAAGAATTCTGTAATTTATTTTTTCCGTCGATCAACTCATTTTTTTCAGCTTCAAAATGAAAATTCCTCGACCCCTCACTGGAATGAACCATTTTTACAACACTTCACTGCAAAGTTGATACCTTCCCTAAGCAAAATTGAAATTTTATCATGCAGTTGTAAAAAAATATCGAACTTTTCGTCCTAGGTTCACAATATACTATTTCATCACATCTGTACGCGAAATTTGCCCTCTCCTTTTTTATAACAGGGAGGAAATATTGAGCTTTATTGTACGGGAGTAATGAAAACGGAAAAAATCGTTCGAAAATATCCAGCTTTGCGGCCTAGTTGCATAATATGCTGTTTTATCGTTCTTGTTAAACTTATCCTCCCTTCAAGCTTCAGAATGAAACCCCAACTAATTGAGGTTAGAATCCTCCTTTCGGTCCTAGTGACATAATACTTTATTTGCCTAGTGCCACCCGCGAAGTCCCACAACCCCGTCTCAAATGACTCGTTTTTATCGAACCTCAAGATTTTTTAATCAACTACCGCGATACAAATGACGAACAGTGGATCTCGTTATGAGCCTGAGGGAATCGAGGCATCACATTGAGGCGTGAATCGGACGCTCTAGACGATCGTGTTGGTCCCTCTTCACTGCCATCGCCAACCCGCGAGGATTCCCGGGTTAGTACACAATGTCTTCTCTGTGCTTCAAACAGCCGAGTGAAGGGGGCAAGTGGAGGAGAGGAACAAACTCGAACGCCTCCACACATTCTCATGTGTTTATGTACTCAGCCAAATGCACGTATGGACAACTCGGGCGTGATGCGGCCTCGAGGTTTTGCCGCGATCGCTCATCACGTGATATTAATTAAGCGAGGGGGTAAGGGCTTGAAAAATATAATAAAAAAAAACATTGACTTGGAACAAGGAGATGGTGTTATTTATAAGCATGAAAGCTAAACGTCAGGGGTTATATTATCGTACTTCCAGATGCACTGGAATGTGTCACTGTTTCCTCATCAAATATCACAAGATAATACTACAAATTCCGAATTTTGGATTTGAAATTTCTACCCATAAAAAAATATGGGCCAATTCCATATATTTTTCACATTTATAAAGAATACATGAAAAATATAGGGGACGGTGGGGCAAAATGAAACAGCAAGAAAATCTTGTGATCTAAGGGAGATAGGGCGATTTTCATGAAAACCTTATTTGTAGAGAATTTTACAAGCTACAAAAAAGGTCCTCGTCAAAAATGTCCTATCTCCTTTAGATGACGAGATTTTCCCACTGTTTCATTTTGCCCCGTGTTTCATTTTGCCCCGTGCTCCCCTATATTTGGTATATTTGATATACATTATAATAAAAATGAATAATTATTAAAAATATTAATTATTTATCTAAATTAATTATTTATTAATGATTTAAAAAAATTAATATTAATAAAAATATCAATTTATATTGATATTTTTGTTAATATAAAAATTTATATTTTGAAAAATGTATTAAATATATATTTTATATATATTTTTTTATATATTATTCAAAATATAAATTTTTCCATGTGGGCTCTCTTAATTAACTAATTGAATTCCCCCGAAACAAAAGCAACGATAACCCCCATTTTGTCTCTCACATCCTCATTTCTCATATCGAAACTCCCATAGTACACGGCTAAAATTATTCCAACAATTTCACAGCGAAACGATGGGCGAGCAACATAACAGACCGAAGTGTATTCTCAAAAGGCCGGTGTCTTTGTTCTTGTTCTCATTTCTGTTTGTTGGGTTTGAAGGAGAACGTAGCCCGAGTCATGGAACCGTATCGGGGCATTCCGTTCGTTCTTTCCGGCGCGGATGCGAAGTCAATTAACGCCGCGAAAAAAAAGGGAAATAAATCGACTGCGTAGCGTCATATTCTCAAGAAAAAAGCAATGTCAATGAGACGTCTAAAAACGCGATAGCAATAGGATGATCGAGGGGATCTTCTACTCTAGTGCGTCAATTAACAATAATCTAATAATTATTTACCTTTGTTGCAGATGGTGCAAGCGATTCAGGTCCTCCGGTTTCACCTCCTCGAGCTTGAAAAGGTAAATATATCCCTCATTATCCCACTCCTTCCGATATTACATAATCAATCACATCAGCAAGATTGATACAATGTGATTTTGATAAGGTCATTCAGGAGAATTCAAGTGGCTCGTTAATTTTCGTCCGATCATAAATCTCTCGGGGGGGCTCCTCCCCACACTCTGACCTCCACAAAGAAAATAAATATGTTCGTTTGCTGAGGGTATTGGCCAGTTGATGTGCGTGAGTGCATTTGATTCTATTTGGTCACGTTTGGGGATTGTTGATATGGTCGAGAGCTATTAACACCTGAACACAAGATGTCTCTCACTTGTATCCTTGTATAGAGATGCAATTTTCTGTAATGGCAGTGAAAGCTCATGTTTCCTTTTTGATTTTTCGAACTGGCTGGTGTAAGTGGAGTCATTTAGCTGTCTCGTCGACATGCGCTTGGCGGAATCCAACGGATGATTCTGTAAAAAGGAGTCTGTCGGGTTTTGAGTATTTGGGTTTTGTCTATAATTCCTGGTAGGCGTTGAGTTTGCAGAGATTTTGAATGAATTTGTTCTCATTTTTTCCTGACGAATGCTGTTTGATGGGCAGTCTGAGAATTTATGATGAAGCTGTCTAAAATGTTCAGAAGTTTGAGCAAAATCTTCCTTTTATATCACGTTTTGTCTATAATTCTTGATAGGCGTTGATTTTGCAGACATTTTGAATGAATTTGGCCTCATTTTTTCGTGACGAAAGCTGTTTGATGGGCAGTCTGAGGATTTATGATGAAGCTGTGTCTAAAATGTTGAGAAGTTTGAGCAAATCTTCCTTTTCTATCACGTTTTGTCTATAATTCTTGATACGCGTTGATTTTGCAGAGATTTTGAATGAATTTGTTCTCATTTTTTCCTGACGAAAGCTGTTTGATGGGCAATCTGAGGATTTTCGATGAAGTTGTGCCTAAAATGTTGACAAGTTTTAAGCAAAATCTTCCTTTTCCATCAAGTGGGACACATTCTGCCGCACATTCCTCTCAAATTGTTGATAGGCTTCAACTACTCTTCAATGTCTATAAATTATCGAAAATTCTTGCCTTAACATTCGAATCATAGCGGAGAGTTATCGTAAATGCCATCAATTCCCTGATTTCCCCAGATTTTCTTGTCGCTCCAAGCACTAATCCAATAATATTATTCAACCCCATCGACTCCGGCAATATTTTATCATACAAAATATCGGACATCCATCGCATTTCCATCGAAATTGTTCATGGTCCGAATACGTTTTAAAAATGGACGAAGGATAGGATGGTATACGCCAATAGGATAGCAACCAACTACCAGTCCAGCCCAGTTTATCGAAGCCAATTTCATACCAATTTTCCTCATTTATGGTGATTATCTTATAAACTGATACCCGGGGCTAAATCTCCACCTTCACTAGTATTCAGCTTTAAAACCATCGGCCATAGTATCTCAGGCTAAACATTCACTCTGGAAATTCATGATCCTGTGATTTCGCAAAACTAGAAAACAGGATAAAACGTTGGAATGGTGATCAGTGGTTTATGTATGCATTTAGTCTTTGTAGACTTTCCCACGTTTTCCGTTCTCTTTTTCACTTGTTTATGGGAAACTTTCCCCCTTTTTGCCATACGATGGGTTTTGACAATTTCAAAGAATTATTTTTTCGTCTCCGAGGTCTGAAATTTTTTCAAATATCTTATTTCGCGTCACGATGTTCTCTACCATTTTTTTTTCAATTCCACCATCTTCCAAAGCCCAAAGTGTCGTGCCCTTTTTTCTTCTCGTCCCAAAAGAAATTCAAAATAGTGTTGGCCCTGCGGAATGCAGTGGCGTGGCGATCAAAAAGATGTGGCAGAGGAAGGGGATTCCATAAATACCACTCTTCCTCACCAATCCGGCTGCACCACAGCCCCACGAATGTATTCACCATCCTCTTTTATCCTTTTTCTTTCAAGCCAATCGGGTATTAGCATAATTACGTTTTACCAAGCAATGGGGGGAGCCGGCTGGGTTGTCGATGCGCACCAGCGACGTTCCTGGATGGCCGGTTAGGTTATTTTGCAAACCCACCCAGTGGCCAGTGACTCCAGATTATCGAGACATTCTCAACGCCTAGTCACCACCTCTCATACCTAGGTTATTTTACATTCTACTTCGATTTACGGTGGAAAATAAAACTCCAGTTGTTTTCACGAGTTGTTGTAACCCAGGTGATTGTTGAATGTTGTTCGTGGTGAAGGACAGATAATGTGAAATAAAGAAATAGCTGGAGCTATTGACTTGGCTTTACTTCCTCCTTGGGTTGAGTTCCGTGATGGAAACCGGTTCTTCATGCTGCTTCTTCCACTGCAATTTTTGCGGTTAACAGTTCAAATGCATGGCGCGTCATGTACACAGTAACATCCTGACGAAACATGGAGGATAGCCGATAGATTGCTAAAGGCACTCGTTGAATTGAAAAGACCCTGTCGATGAGGAATTCGTCCTACATGCAGTCGTTGAGACGAATCAGTTGTACTTGATCATTGACGTGGAAAATATTTTGACATTGGTGATGAAGGGAACGGAGGGTCGATGCTCCCGGAATGTTTGAGGGAAAGGGGTCGATCCAAAGCCATGTGGAAAACTGGTTCTGAAGAGTGGAAAAGGCTGATGCTCAATCCTGAAGGGTCTAGTGTTGGAAAAATAAATTTGGCTCCATTGCTGGATTGATCCGACCATTCCTCATCTTAATGACTTACAACATTGTTTCCGGGGGACCCCATGAGGACTACAGACACACGATAACCCAGCGATTCCCACAGGCATCATATCGATTTACTAATCTCAATCAATTCCCACCATTTGATCATCCACTTCATGCTGCGTCTTCCACTGTAATTTTTGCGGTTAACAGTGCAAATGCATGGCGCGTCATGTACACCGTAACATCCTGACGAAACATGGAAGATAGCCGATAGATTGCTGAAGGCACTCGTTGAATTGAAAAGGCCCTGTCGATGAGGAATTCGTCCTACATGCAGTCGTTGAGACGAATCAGTTGTACTTGATCATTGACGTGGAAAATATTTTGACATTGGTGATGAAGGGAACGGAGGGTCGATGCTCCCGGAATGTTTGAGGGAAAGGGGTCGATCCAAATCCATGTGGAAAACTGGTTCTGAAGAGTGGAAAAGGTTGATGCTCAATCCTGAAGGGTCTAGTGTTGGAAAAATAAATTTGGCTCCATTGCTGGATTGATCCGACCATTCCTCATCTTAATGACTTACAACATTGTTTCCGGGGGACCCCATGAGGACTACAGACACACGATAACCCAGCGATTCCCACAGGCATCATATCGATTTACTAATCTCAATCAATTCCCACCACTTGATCATCCACTTCATACCTAATGCCTCTATCCTTACGCAATACCGAAAAGAACGAATGAACTTAATATATTCAGAACCATCTAGACCTGTAACATCGTGTGACTCTCTCATGAGAAGTCCTTGGCATCATTCAGGAGTCGCTGTCTCACTATTCTCATTCGGTTCGAAGGGTAACTCGCAGGATCATGTGTCGCAAGGGCAAGATCATGACGCCATGGCGTTACGTTACAACCTCTAGCTTTCTCGGGGGGAAAAAGTAAGATGGTGAAGATATCCATACTCTTGTTTAGGATGATCCAAGTTGTCGAGAGAGTGCCGAAGACAGCCGAGTGGATACGACTTGCTGTCTACCTTCTATCGATGATCAGTTCTCTCTTATTTTTTCACTCTATTCTTTTTGTCTTCAGCATTGTCAGCCGGTTGGACTCGACTCCCGGTGGATCAAATTCTAACCAGTCTGGTATTATAGCCGATGTCCTTCGGTCCCTCCTTCTCTCGCTACCTCTCGAAATCTATAGTCATCTGTAAAGGCATTGTCGTGAAGGAAACGAGAAAGACCAGGGGGGACCAAGGAGACACCGAAGATATAATTTAAGACTCGAGGTCCAGTGCCTCTTGTACAACGTTAAATTTCAATGGACATCTATCCCGAGAATCGTCAAGTTGAAATCGGTGATAAATAAAAGGGGATAGCCCATTGGTCTCACTATAATTCATGATAAACGCGTGCATTGTTCTAAGACTACAAGAAGCAAAACACGTTTCACTGGGCATTAGTCGTTTTATTTCACCTTCCGGGCAAAATGGCCGACTATTACATATAAATACCTGTCTAATAAGAATAGTGAGTGAGGCATATATAAGAGGCCTATGGTAATGATTATCCTAACCTTCACTGGTCTGTATGTTACGATGGTCTCTATCATGCTGGAGTAGAGAGATGCAGGCAGTACTGCAGAAGCGGCATCATAATCCCCAAGTAGACTTTCGAACCAAGAGGAACAATTTACATATAACAAGATAACGATTTTTTCACTCAATCCTTTTTTTGCTTATATAATACATATATTTTTTCTAAGTCGAATGCCGCTGGTTGGTGGAGACGAAAGAGTGGGGAAAGGGCGGGTTTTGTAAGAGAGACTAGGAAGATGGGCTCTATAGGCTTGTCATGGTTCATTTGCATACATAACATTCTGGTTGACTGGCCACTGGCTGCTTCAAGCCTCCATTCTCCTGTCCACTGAAAACTCTTGGTCTTGTCCAATGGCCCTCAACATTAAAATGTCACTGATGTTTTTAACCTTAAAAATTGTACATCTGTTTCAACTTGTGAAAGCCAGTCTCAGTCAACTCTTAATTAAACGTTATCAATCGTCTTCTTCTTTCAGGTTCACGAATTGTGCGACAACTTCTGCCACCGGTACATAAGCTGTCTGAAGGGCAAAATGCCAATAGATCTTGTGATCGATGATCGTGAGAGCACAAAACCACCGGATCTTGGTAATGGACTCGATGGTGGTCCACGTAGTACAGCTGACAGTACGAGTCATACTGATGGAGCAAGTACACCGGACGTCGTGAGTACCTCACCATCGTCAACGTCTTACTATCCGCACGACGCGTTAACCCCCCACCACCATCACAATCACCACCACCATGCAATCGGCAGTACCACCCCCCTGCAACTGAACAACCAAAACCAAAGCCAAAATCACCCGCCGCAGTCGAACACTACCCCAAGTAGCGCCGCCACAACTCCCAACTCCCTAAAGCGTACGCACCAACAGATGATGATGGCAGCCGCGGCAGCCACCGCAATGGCTACATCGCCGCACGCCGCCTCCGCGCCCCCTGCGCACGCGCACGCGCACGCCGCCCTCGCCGCCTACCACAGCATCAGTTCGGCTGTTTATCCGTGCTCGTAATTGTAGATTATCGATGTTTAGTTTAATTGAGATGATTTTTTTTTGCAATTCATTATGCGGGTTTAATGGTACTTCTAGAGTCATTTCGAGATACTTAACATCAACATGTGCTTCTGTCCTTTAGAATCCTCAACCCATCCAAATCGTTATCCAAATCACATAACCCTCTTTGTGCATTACACTGTTGGAAAATAATTACTGAAATTTCTTGGACATTTGGGGCTGCAGTTTTCATGGAATAATGGAACTGAAATTTCAGTGGAAAAGTGGGGTTATAAAAATTTCCACGAACAGTGCCAGATATTTTGGTAGAAAATTCCAACAGTGTACGTCTCTGTCTCTTGTGTTCATCTTATTTCATCTTATTCATCTTATCTTCAATTTGGGAAATTGCTCTTCATCAGATGATTCATCATCTGGAGATACTGCCATTTGCATCTGTCCTATACTCTAGATGACACACCACCTGCTTTGTTCATCTGTTATCATCTTATTTATCTTGACATCGTTTTTTTTTAAAGAATTTCTCAAAATTGTTGATTCGGCAGAACTGGGGCGGTTCGATGTCGTGCGCGGGCCGGAGGGTCCTGTTGAGGCGTTCGGCGGGGGTCATCGGTTGTACTTTTTATGCTCTAGATAATCGAGATTGGGATGAGGTTAGGAATTGTAATTTTCTACGGGGGAGGGGAGCACTTGATTGTCTAATCGACGATCCAGCGACTTCAAATTTCATTCACTCATCACATTTACGTGAATTTACGAGAATTAATTCGATAATTATTTATCGAGAAACTGATCTATCGATCGCTAGATCATCGATTATTCATAAATTAATGAGACTCGAATTTTGCATTTTGAATTTGAATTTCATAACGGCGAGACGATTTTATCTTTTATTTCAATGAAAATAAATCTTTTGAGAACGTAATTGGGGGCATTATCTGCCTGTCTTCGTGACATAGACACAGTATACGTAAATACGTTCATTTGGGGCCCATAGTTCCGGTATTGGATCCTGAAAAATCGCTCGATTGCCATCGGTGCGCAAGATTATTTATAAATAGCAACGATGACAACGTGCGATACATTTTTCACTATTAAATTCACTTAAATCGTGATGCAAAAGATATACGTAATAGCTCTTAAGGTCGTGTAAAAGAATACATACGTGTCTATTTTTAAACGAGATCAATAAAAAATCAAAGGGAATAGTGAAAAAATAATAATTAAGAGGTATAAATAAACTGATGTGAACGAGCACGTTTCGATGGCGATGATAAATAAATGAGAATGGTTTTTAAATAATCGATGATTAGTGTTACCATTCGCATTTGCGTTGTGAGGATTTTGAGAGAGTGTGAGCAAGTGTGCGAGTGATTGTGTGAGCAAACAGTGAAAATCACGATAATTGAGACTAATCAGGAGACAATGATTCATGAAAGGAAGGAAAGTCATAATTTGAATGTGTCATTGACAATTCTGAGCCATTTCGCTCGGTTTCTTTTGTAAATATACTTTATACTTTATCAAATGTTAACGAGTAATAGGCGATGACGATCGGTAGCACGTGTGCGTGTCAATTCGGACGATAACAAATGCGATTATGAAAAATTATAATTGAAATAACGATTAAAATGCGACTGTTGTTTCAAATAAACTAGGTCTCGGTACTCGTAACTAGGGAGTTGTGTGAGGTACAAGTCCTGGCCGGCAGGGCGCGCGTTATCCACCCCCCCTTAATTCCCGTACTTGACCCTGTCTACTTGACTTGTAGAATTGAAATAATCAATAACAATTTGAGGAAGTATTTATCGAGTGCTGCATATGTCTGGTGCCTCGCCCATGGTGAAATGGGTAAAAGCCATATTATTTTTTTTTCGAAATTTGTCGTATGAATATGTGTCCTGCACCCTGAAATTATTAACTGTGTCGTCATAAGTCCACTTTTTAGTTATGGCCAAGGTCTTTGAAACGCGCAATTGAGCCCCACATTGCACGAAATCATGCGCGTAAAGGGAATTACTGGCCAGTTGCAACATTTTGGACACTTTCATTGGTGGACATTAATTTGGTTTAATCATCTAGCGCATGTTTTTTACATTGACATGATTGATTTTTGGGGTTATGATGAGGGGTGCAGGACAGGCATTCGGGTAAGGCATCAGGAGCAGCATGCACGATACGATTGAGGATTCAATTGTTCATCATTTTGGCAGATGATGATTCCTCAATTGGATTTTATGATTGATATGAGTAAAGTTCTACGAGTCGATGCTTGGGGTTCAAGTACCGGGGGTTTTGGTTAAGGTGGATTACAGCACCTGCTTGCTAGAACCCTAGTTACGAGTGCCGAACCTAGGGCCGAGATGAGTCATCTCGGTTATTTGTTGGTTTCTTTAAGGTGAAATGGTTTTTTAGTAATTTTGACGAGGCTGGAGGCGCTGCTGAGGAAGAACCGATGGAACTGGCAGCTGTTGTGTCTTTGACTGCAGCATTCAGACGAGAAAAATCGCAGGGGAGATGACTCTTGGGGGCTTCATCGTGCAGCCAGGGAGGTTTCCGTCTCAGAACCCTGGTCATAAGTCCCTTTTGCTCAATTAGTCGGCGAGATATCGAGGAGGCAAATTTCGGAAATCGAAATTTCAATCTTCCGAAGGTCGGGAACTACTCGGGCAAATGGGACTTATGAACAGGATTCCGGAACGGAAATTTTCCCGGGTCTGAGGTGATGCCGGTTTCGTCATCAAAACTCAAAATTTTGCTCTGGAAATTTTCAAAAATTTGACATTGATTGAGGGTTTCAGAGCCAGAATTGTAAATACGATTGATTTAATTCATATTTTGTTCAATTCTCTGGGAAATATGAAGATTGAAAAAAATTGAAAACCCACGGCGACGACAAAACGTGAATACTTAGTGCCATAGGTTGCAGTGGGCGTGCTCGCCAAGACTGTACTTAATTAATTAAAATATGAAGATATATGTCGGACATGGAGAGCGAAGAGGTTAAAATTAAGTACGAATGACGAATAGTCGTATACACGCGCGAATAGTTAGGCATTATAACGATAATGAAATGAAGAAGTGGAAAAGAAAAAAAATAATGCAAGTGTTTTGTCGTTCTCCGCTGCATTGTCGTGTCACTAATCGCCCACTCACTGTCGATATAATTATATTCAGCCGTGCATTTATGAATTACATAAATAATCATTACCATAAATTGACTAAAAATGTGTATCGACAGTGCTGCGGAGCCCGATTCACCGTGATATGGGGAATTTTTCATTTTGTCTTGTAAAAATATATATATTATATAAATATTAACAGAGACTTTTTTAATGCTCACAAGTTAGTTTAGGGATTTTTTTTTTCATTCATTTTCAGTTGGATTAACCACACTCAAACCTCGCCCATGTATTTGTCGGGCTTAAGCATTTGTTGAATGTCGTGTAGTTACGTTTTCTTTTTTTCATTTTTGTTTCGTATTGTTTCTCATCGTAATTTGTTAACGTTTGTAGTGCGAAGGAGGGAGACATTTCAATTTGAGTTTAACATCGCGAATTATCGGGATTCGCGGATTGAGAGATTATTGAGGAGGACGACAGATAGAGAGAGAGAGAGAGAGTTAAGTTGATTGATTTATAATGAATGGTGACGTGTACATGGAGAATCATCTCTCGGGATGAGAATTGTAAATGTATGGGTGTTACATACTTCACAGTAAACTTATTTAGTGGTAAGGAAGTTCGATGATGATGAGAAAACAAATTATGAGAGGAAACATGGAAAATCAACTCACTCCGCACATTGTATACGACTAGCATTATAGTGATAATATATTACCGATAATGATACTGTTTGAACTACTGTCTCAATCAACGTATTTTCATTATAAATAAATGTTAGCATTGTTGAGTTAATGACTTTTTTTTATTCGAGTTATGGCTGGGCTTCCTTCCTTGCATGAGGAATTTCTGACGTCTGAGGTGTTTCTCTCACATCAGGGTGAGAACATTTCCGATTCAAGACCCTGGTCTTAAGTCCTTTTTGGTCGACTATTAGTCGAGATATCGCAGGGGCGAAATTTCGAGTCGAAAATTTCTGCCTTCGATATCTCGACGAATGGTCGAGGAAAAAGGAGTTGTGACCAGTGATCGGAATCGGAAATTCTCTCAGCTTGATGCCGGAGGAATCGATCCAAATTTATCGAAATCAGACGTCAGAAATTTTTGAACATTAGTGTTTAATCGATCTAGTTGTAATTCAAGAAATTAAGAACGAATCGTCTCGCTGTTGCGATCGTGGGGCTCCGAATCCCCCCGAAAATTGCAATATTCCTGAAGTACCGCCTCCCCAAAATCGACGTTAGCCACCCCCACAGACTGACTCCCATCCCTCAGCGATTTCCCCAGGTAGCGACCCCCGAACACTTCTTTTCCCTCATTTCGTGGAGTGTAAGCGTCGCCCGGTTTGCCGTAGAGCCGCCAAGGTCCGCCCATAAATCTCGGTTAACCCTCGTCTAATAAATATTTAACCCTTTATATTTGCAACAACCCTTAGCGTGTAGACATTTGCATAGGACTTCTATTTCATTTACACATCGCATAATTGAATATTTAAATTCAATTGCTACCCGTTACGCGCTCGCTGTT